TGCAGGATATTAAAAAATGGAGCAATATTTGAAGAGCTAAAAAGATCTGCTCATAATCAAGGTCTAAATCAGCTTTGATATTAAGCCTTATGAGAAAAGTATTATTAATAAACATAATTTTAATCTCAGCAAGGAAGTACACAGACACGCAAGACTGAGCACATACACTTATTTCCAAATTATTTAAAATGTGAATCTCTTTGGCTAATAGATCTTCTTAGAGTGTACACTTGGAGAACCTGTGCCTTTTTCCTAACTTCACTGAATTCAGAGGTTCCCAAAATATATAGGGCAAGTTCCTATGGCTCTGCTGGCATAGTTATGCAAGAGGTAGTGACAGTGGTATTGACATTAAGCAGAAAAAGAAGTGGATGATGGCAACTCATAGAAGCCTTCATTTCAAGGCATATCTCCAAACAGTTATTAATAGATTTGGTAGCCCAATCCACCCATCCCCTCCTAGTTCCACTGCAACTTTTCTCTTGCTTAAATAAGCAGCAAAATTATTAAGCTTCTTGTAGGATACCCCATTCTATGTGAGGTTTACCACAGATAGATCTAATCTAGAAATAATGTATTTTGACATTGCATTAACTCCCATGGCCCAATGCTATGGACATCTGGAATTTGTAGTTTTGTGAGACAGTTTGGTTTCTCTGTCAGATAGCTCTGCTGCCACAGCAAACAACAAACCCCAATATTCCATAGTATTCAGCCATAGCAGTTAAAGCAGTGTCAAACTGTATTATTTCTGCAGTGCAGATTAGACCATAAACACTCCAAATACAAACATGATCCACCCAATAAACACTATGGTGTGTGGTCACCAATCAAGCAATCTGTTTAGTAACAGGCTAGCTGCACTGACTGATTTATCTATTAGGCCCATTTCAAGCAGAAAAAGAGGAAGGCTGCATGGTAGATGGAAGGACTTTATAAAAGAGGACATGGTATGAACTTGCAGGAACTGAGCAGAGCAATGAAGAACAGGGACTCTTAGAGATGTCTCATCTACAGGATCATTATGGGTCAAGATCAACTCAAAGGTGGATAACAACAATAACAACAACAACATTTAATTCTTCATGACATTGGACTGAAATCCTATACTCACTTCCCTGAGAATAAGGTCCATTGCATTGCACCCAATGAAGCTGACATTTGAACAGATGCCTAGATGATTGTGTTAAGCCCTATATGGTTTGGCCAGAATCCAATATATCTTAGCCAACAATCCCTCCCATATTAAACTCTTTATTCTTTAAAGTCTTCCAGGAAGGCCTCATTCTAAGTTCCTTTTCCATACAAAGCGATATTGTATGGAATTAAGAGCTTAAATCCAACATGGCAAGAAACAGTCCTCCCTTCATTTATCCCACTCCCAAATTTATCCCACTTCCAGAGCTGTCTCAAAACAAACACCAGAGGCTTTCTTCCCAGCCCTCTGAAGCAGAATTTTAGGGCGAAGTAGGGAATGAAGTGAGAAGGGGAAACTCCCTCTTTCCTCTGGATGCTACTTTTTTAGTCTAGTGTTTGATCTTGCCTTAGAGTCACTATTGGGGGCAGTGGAAGCTTCTCAGGGATACTTGCCAGATAACTGGCCAATAACAAAGTAAAAACATGCTTGTGATTTTAATGTGATACCTCTGAGGTTGCTGTGAGTTTGTATCAGATTTTTGAATGAATCCATTACATAGAATGGCATTACCTGGAACATTGTTTTTTGAGATAATGAGGATGAAATTATATATTTATTTTATAAAGTAATGTAATAATTGTCATTATCATTACTTCTTAGGTTTAAAAATTAACAGATATTGGAGATTATCACATTAAAAATAACACACCTTATCCCGATCAGAGTTTTTTTAATTTTTATTTATACAAAGACAAACAGATATACATTTATACACAAATTACAAAATACATAATAAATATTACATATAACACACATACAAAACCAACATCACAGACCTACTAACATACAAAATATACCAAACAATCTACTAACATTAAACATTGATCACTCATTATATATGATGTTTCATATGAATAATAAATAAACTTCCAATATGAAAAAACAAATAATTGCCTTCTTTATACAGAATTCATTGACACCCCTATCTTATCCATCTTTACAGCATTTCAACTTATTCTTTTTTGACATTCGTTTACATTTTCATTTTTTTAAAAAAAGCCCACTATATAATAAATGTTCATTCATTGTTTTTGTTATTTATCTTCGTATTTCCCCCTTTTCCAATATATCTTAAAGCACCTCCAATTTTCTTCCACCTCCTCCTCTTCTTTCTCTCTCATTAAAGCTGTCAATATATCTAATTCCATAGCTTCCTTCATTCTTTCTCTCCATTCCCTATTGGAAGGTATTCGATTTTGTTTCCATCTTTTTGCGTAAAGAATTCTTGCTATGGTAATCATGTACAATACAATACTTCTATGTTTACATCCCAGATCTTTTTCATTATATCAGTCATATTTAATAAAAAGATCGGATCCCATGGTATAGTAACTTCTAGTATATTAGACATTAGTTCCTGTATCTTCCTCCAATACCACTTGGCCTCTCTACACTTCCATCATACATGAAAAAAGTGCTTTCTTGTTTCCCACATTTCCAGCATTTCATTGTTCCTGTTTTATATATGTTATTAATTTTTACTGGAGAGAGGTACCAATGGTATAACATTTTAAGTTTCCCATTTTTGAAAAGTGGCTGGATAAGCATGGTTGGTACCTGGGCTGCATGCAGGTTGCAGTTGCCCAGCAGCAGCGGTGGTGATTTGAATGTGATACCAGGTATTGATCTGAAATGCAACTGTTTCCTATCAGGAATAAGTTGTGTTATTTTTAATGCAATAATCTCCATACCAGAAAATTAGTATGCCAAGGTAGTACCTTTGAAACTAACTGAAAGAAAGAAGCTAGTAACATAAGCTTTCTTAGATGTGAGCCTACTTCCTCAGATGGCTGTTTGGAATGGAGATTCCAGAAACAGACTTATATAAACTGGTTGTGTGTGAGAATGTCAATTCAAATTCAAAACCTTGTGGGTATAGATGAAGGGACAAGTTCAGTTCTAATGATGGTCATTGGGGAACAAATTCAGGAGGAAGTTCTAAACTCTGTTATTAGTGTTTTTTTAATTGCAATTGATGTATTATCTTATGTTTTGGTCTTGGTTATAAATTCGAAATTTATTGAGTTTGTGGGAAGGCAGGAGCCAGCTTTGATCTGAGGGATCCAAAGGCTAGTGGATTGCAAACCATTAGTTTTTTCATGGAACTTAACACTTATTGCAATTGGAATAGTTTGAACTAATCCTAAGCCTTTGAGAGTCACACATGGACGTTCTTGGGCCATTAATAATTCCACAAAGGAAATCCTGTGGGTAAAACTTTTCCCCTCACTCCATATGTATGGAGGAAAAGCTTTTCAATGTTCATTTCTCATTACCTTGTCATACCTGTAAAAAGTGCAAAGGTCCTGTGAGAATATAACTTGGCAATCTTGATGGAATTGTGAATATATTGTGGTTTCAAATTCATAGCCAGCAGTAAGATTTGAAATATGAAAAGCAAAAAGTTCTGATTTGGATCTAGACTTACTCATGCATAGAACAGACCTAACGAAATGAGTGAGACAAGCTGATTATAACAAACTTGACTCTCATTCATTTCAACAGGTCCAAATAAGCAAGTCTAAGTTTGGATCTATTACTTTGTGTATTATTTTTTCAGACTGAAGTTTTGTTGTGATTTTTTTTGGCAGTGACCTGGCGGGGGTAGGAGGCAACCCATCACACAATCTTCTTCTTACTTCTCTCTATACACCAGTTGTAAATGAAGTGAGTAGCAGACACAATTAATAATATTGGGCAAAAGAACAGTACAATTAGCTAACACTACTGTCTCTAAATTGTGTATGGCAACAACACTAAACCAGTCAACAGGATTAATCATAGCCTCTGTTCAGTGAATCCTCTAATTTTGTGAACTTCAAGGATTATTAATTCAATAACAAAATGTTCACATTTACAGCTGCTTTATATTATAAAAGAAGGTACATAACCATGGTTCTTTTGCTGTGGCTGCGAAGAAGCAATTTGGAATAGGGGGAAAACCTCAAAAGGAAAAGTTTCAAATCTAAATCTTTTGGGAAATAGAAACCCTCAGGGGAATTAGTTTTGGAAACTGTCATTAAGCAAAGAAGCCAATGGCCTCAGGGGGAAAAGGTTGGCAGCAAGTAGCCCCCTGGCCATTCCTCCAGAACTCCCAGATATTTCCCTTTCTAGGGTCTTTTTCACACTACACAACCATAGTACTACAATTCCACTTTAATATCCATGGTTCCAACATATGGAATAATGGGATTTATAGTTTAGCGAAAGGTATTTAGAATTCTCAGCTAGAGAGCTCTAGTGCTTCACCAGTATAAATCCAAGGATTCCATAAGATGCAGCCATGGCAATTAAAGTGGAATCATAGTGCTATCATTGTATAGTGTGAAAGAGCCCTGGCAGTATAGATATGTGTGTGCTGAATGACTTTCCTGCACCCTCAAAACAAGTGTTCTTATATTTGAGCCTACTGAATAAAATAACTATGACAAATTAATGGAGATATCATTTTGTTCTTTGCATATGACAACAAAATGACTGGGCCAGCCCTATATAGGAAGGCATGTACTTTGCAGTAATATGAAAGCCCACAGCTGCTTATAGTCAGGAATAAATCCATACTGGGGGCCAAGATATATGGTCTATCTCAGCTTCAGAACAAGCCCTCCCAAAAGTAGTTAGCTAACATTTTATATACACATATTAAACACCTTGTTCCTTGCTGTTGTTGGGTGTCTTCAAGTCATTCCCAACTTATGGCAAACCTAAGGTGAACCTATCACAGGGTTTTCTTGGCAGAGGGGGGTTTCAGAGGGGGGTTGTCATTGCCATCCCCTGAGGCTGAGAGTATGTGGGTTTCCATGGCCAAGCAAGGATTCGAACCCTGGTCTCCAGAGTCATAGTCCAATGCTCAAACCACTACACCATGCTGGCTCCCTTATACCTTGTTCCTTACTCATTGTTTATTCTTATTATTTGGTTACTTAAAACACAACACTGGAAGCTGCAAGCTACTGGCCTATGGTACAAACCACATCTAATTAGTGGCACATCTCTGGGAAAAGAACTACAAGGAAAGAGGTTTTTGATTTGTGGTTTAAAATGTATAGAATTTAGAATTTTATATAGAGAATTTTATATACAGATTGATTAAAAATTCTTAAATTGTGTTTCAAATTTTAAAGCTTTTCTTCAGTTCATATTCTAATTTCATATGCTTTATTTAACTGCATGTGACTGACTCCCAATCATGCAAGAAAGATTTATAAAATAAATAAATGGAAACAATTAGTTACACAGGATATGGACTTACTTTGGTAGGTTACTATCTTATTTATGTATTTAATATCCTTTCTCCCTGTCCACAACCCAAGGAGGATTACAAGCATTTAATAATTGGGTATAACAAAAATTATAATGTAACTAAGGAGATTATTGCACCAGCTCAGGATGTAAACCCACAGGGATGGATTGTACCACACAGCTCTGTCCCTGGGCAGTACTCATCCTGTACCTGACCTGAACTTCTCCCAGACCTTTTAAAGAATGGGAAAAAGTGTTGCCTCCAGGCCACACTTTGCCCACTATAATTTCCATGCTGTTTTGCCATATTTACCTGATGAAGAAGCCTGTGAACTTCAAATTCCAGTATTAATTATTTTGCATCTTTTGGTTTGACAAGTAAAAGTATCATCACAAGGTAGATTCTGAATTGCATTTGTTTGTTTGTTTGTTTGTTTGTTTGTTTGTTTATTTATTTGTAGGTCAGTATGGCTAAAGTACTGGGGATCCTATGCTTCAGGAAGTGGTCTTGGTGTCCTCATATACTGGGATTTGATTTTCTGACAGTTGACTCCCTACAATACAATCAAATAACATGATTTGCCATCAGTTGATATGATTTACCTATTCCAACAAGTGTGTCTGGTTGGATTGGGAGACATAGTATAAAGTTCCAGAACTATATCCTTCTCTTCCCTCTTACCTCCCACAGAACTCACCGTGCTCATGCCAGCCTATGATGGAGAGTGTGGAGGTGGCTGAGAAGCACCTGGCTATATGCCTACAGTCAGATAGACAATGGCAACATCATCCTCCAAGAGAAGGCTGGGAAGTTCCCTCAGAACACCTTCATCATCGTGTATCTGCCATAATCAACTGATCAATTAAATGGCTCTGGAGTGGGAGCACCAGCAAGAGATGGGTTGGGAATCACTGAAGAAGAAAAGTAGTAGCATAATCACTCTGCAAGAAGAAGAAGAAGAAGAAGAAGAAGAAGAAGAAGATGATGATGATGATATGTGCCAGTATTAGTGTCACTAACAGCATACAAACCTCTGTTTTCAGATGACTGAACAGTACAGAGGCTTTCCTGAGAGACTACCTGCCCTCTTCCATCACAGTAGTCTGAATCCTCATACTGGAAAGGGGCAAATACAGTTCTCAGAGTGGGGTGAGAAGGATTTTATGCTTTCAAATGAGAAGCCAAATGATGTTTGTTTCACTGCCTTTATTCTTTGTTAGCCCATGGCCATGAGGTAGCCCTACTTTTCATCAACACACACATTTTATAATATCTCAAAGCCAAAATGTGGATGTTGTGATCACAGCACTGTCACCTTCCTTCCCATGCATGCTATTTTACCAGTTTTTCTTATGTTACAAGTACTGGAAGTCTTCCATTTTTGATATAAAATGTGGTGAATGATTGCCCATTTATGACCCTAATACCCTACAGACACCCATCATAAGCCTTAGAGCAGGGGTAGGCAACCTTTCCCCTTTAAGGGCCGAGGGACTTCAGCTCCCAGAAGCCTCAGCCATGTTGGCCAATAGTCCCATGTTGGCCAATAGCTCCTCGGATTCTGGGAGCTGAAGTCCCTCGGCCCTTAAAGAGGAAAGGTTGCCTACCCCTACCTTAGAGCAAGAGACCACATAGGCAGTTTGGGACTTGAGATAAGGGAGATTCACATACATTTACCAGGAAGGCTAGGCAATTAACCATAGGATGTTTGGTACCCAAACTGGAGAGTGCTCATTAACACCCCAATTCCCACTTCAAAGATTTCCATCTTGAGTGATCATTCCTATGCAGATTTGGCCTTTTGATGTAGGGCACCTGGTCTTCGCCCCAAGCTAGTTTTGCCCCACATAAGATCCCAAAATTCCTTTGTTTCCCTGGGCTAGTTTTGATTTTAGGTTGACTCCACATCACTCTGAATTCTGCTAGTTCTGATCCACTGCTGCCTCACTCCAAGCATCCCAGAGAGGCTGGGTCCCACATCTCCACTATCAGACCACATCTTCAAGGAGCTACCATGTTGATGGTAATTATTGTCATTAATGAAGCCTCTCAATCTATTCCAATGCCCACCTCTTTATTTCCTATTTCTTGTATTTGTGCATGCATTTATGTATTTGGTGTATGTATTCCCCTTAATACAATACAATTGACTGAAGAATTCTGCCTCTGTAATCCTTTATCCCAGCACCTTCATAAACATTGGGAAGTATCCCCAGGGCTGCTTGTAACTCAGCCCATTTATTGAGCTAATTAACATTCCCCTCAACCCTTAGTTACACCTCTGATAAAGAAGCCCATAAGTTTCAAAAGTTAGAATAGTGCATTTGCACTCTTTGGCTGGCCCAGTAAAGGTATAATCCCAAGACAGATTTTTAATTTTGTTGATTTTGTTGTGTTTTGTTTTATAGCCAATATTATCCCTGAAACTCAGTAGCTCCAAGATATGTCTTATCTCTCCTCCAAAGTTCTCACTCTAGAACACTTGTCTACTTCTGAATTCTAAATACATATATATATTCTACTCTCATTTGCACTTTGAATATACATTTTTATATATTTTTAAAAATTATAAAGGAAATGCTGTAGACACAAGGACACAGTCAAATACAAAGAAAAGTAAAACCCATTGAAATCGATATGTCTATGAATGCTTAATTTTGTTTTGGAGAGTGGTGTGTCCAAAGTAAATATAAATGTATTTGCAAAAAGTTCAATATATATTTCAGCACCCACCTACTACTATGAAGAGTATTAGCCCTGGTGGCGCAGTGGTTAAATGCCTGTACTACAGCCATTCACTCATAGACGACAAGGTTGCGAGTTCAATACCAGCCAGGGCTGAGGCTTGACTCAGGCCTGCATACTTCCAAGGTTGCTAAAATGAGTACCCAGCTTGTTGGGGGGCAATCAGCTCACAGTTGTAAACCACTTAGACATCCCATAGCGCGATATGAAGCAGTATATAAATGAAGCTGCTTTGCTATTAAATTCAATATCTACAAAGGATAAATTAGGGGAGCAGATTAATTTCAGGGCTAGCTATAAAACTCTCAGTTTACATGTTTATATAAGAACTGCAGAAACTCATACTAAGGATAGCAAATCCCAAGCGGAGAACATGGCCCACATCAAAGCAAAACCCCTATCACTGAGTTTAAAATATATAATCTTAAACTTTATCAGTACAATATGGGAACGTAAAATTATTTTCCCAGGAAAGAGCAATTTCTCTTTATTTCCTTGCAGATGTAAGAAGTTAGTCAATGTTATAGCTGTCTTTGGCTTGCTGCAGTTTATCAGGTGAACCGTCCCTACGGGTTAAACTAATCTGCCTGAATTTTTCTGTTCATTTTAACTGCTGTTCAACATTTTTGATCTGACAACTTAATGCCATCCCACCAGAAAATATATGTTCTTTCCAATAACAAATGTTTTTCATATTAACAATGTGGAGAACTTCAAGGGGTAGGTTATCTTGAGATAATCGCACCCTTAGGGGATCATAAGCACATAGATCATGATAATCCAATCTCAAATGCTAACTTTCTAATTGCAAGCATGCCACTGTCAACTGTAAACACATATTTTCCCTTTAATGACTTTTTAAAAATCTGAATATAATGAAACATGTTGTGATCTTGAAGTCATCCATCATTTGCTGCAATAGCCTCACTTGTAAAACTCAGCATGCATGAGGCTATATTTAGAATTCAACACAGAGGAAATAAACATTTTAATTACAATGTGCAGATTTCAAGATAGTTTGGTATTACAAAGTGCTTACTTCTGGTTCTGCATGCTTCCTCTTTCACCTTGGCAGCAGCAACCATATACACACCTAGAATTGGCCCTATCATTAAGCAAAGTGAGGAAACTGTCTCAGGTAGCAGAAGAAAGGGGATAGCAGTACAGCCCCGAGTCCCTTGTGTGCCTGTGAGCCACACAGTTAGTTCATCCTCTAAACCAGCCTGCTGCCCCAAGGTGCATCATATAATGAGGGACCCTATGCAATCACCAGTCAAAAAAAAAAAAAAAATCAGGTGCTAGTCCAGACTGCTTCTCTCCATGGAAAGGGAAAAACCAAGCTTTTGTATCAGGTGGCAAAATATATCAAGTTAGCTATCATTATTCAAGCTGTCCCTTATCCCTTAGGTTTCATTCTCACTACCAAAACTAGCCTTTTGTATCTTTTTGCTTTCATATTCTTCTTGCTTTTTCCATGTTAAATTTTAGATCATAAGCTCATCAAGACAAGGGACTGCATTTCTGTTCATTATTCTGTAATGT